TGGTGTGAGAACACTTTTATATGGGTTCTTTGTAATGTCTTTATTTATACGTTATTTTATATTAACCTCTAAAGCTATTTATGTTATGAAACTACAAAAGAGAATATGAATGTGGAATTCAATCTCTTTTTTTATATATACAGTATAATATTTTTATACAATTAGATTTCTATAAAGACTAAGTGCTCTACTACAAAATATCTATGATAATATATAAATAACTTGCAGAGGACTGCAGGAGAACACTGGGAACAAGTTATCAAAACATTTGTTGAACCTGATACGCTGATGTGTTTTAAGAATCAGCTGAATGAGATAATGCGATTAATTATCTAGATACCAGACAGGCAAACTGGGCCAATCAGCCTTCTCAAATTTGTGACTGTTAGTTTTTATAATGACTGGTATTTTTCTTTTTTTCCTCCTCCACCCCCAAGCGTGGATAATTCCTTCATACTTTTGTGTTGCTACTGTCTCTCTTATATATTTTTTCATTACTTTTTCCATTCATTTCCATATACGGTATTTATTTTCCTCTCTCCTCTTCATTTACGTTCCCTCTTTGGTATGATTTGTGTGAGCCGCCTTCCAATACACGTAAAAGGGACACTAAAAAAGGGACATACTGTATAGTGAAAAAAAGATTTTGCCAAAGCAAGGATAAGAGGTGAAGAAAAAATATCAGTCTCCTACATATTACTGAGATCCGGTGCGATTCAAATATTTGTCTAATGGGCCTCATACAGTACATGCTTATATAATTTTTTCCTCTTTTCAGATTTAACCTATGATAAAATTAATCCATTCTTTGCGAGAGGGTCCTGTACTATCCAGGCATTTTTGCGAGATTATTTTTTTTTAGCAATGATACAAAAGGTCAGAAAAGTATTTGGTATATTGAATGATGATTTAACCTTTGACATTTAACATTTTGCACACATTCCTGTGCTATGTTACTCTATTTTTTTTCCGGTTGTGTTTTTCTTTCCCCTGTAATTACTGGCATTGACATAAGCATTTTTTTAAATACTGCTCTGTGTTCTGAAAAGTGAAGTTTTTGGGATTATTTTGTTTCCTGAAGACTGATTCTCTTAATTATTGATCTGACTAGTACATTACTGTTCACAGGTTCAAAAAAAGGAACTTATTCTTAGTATAAACATATTTTACTGATTAATTAGTAAAACTATACTTTCAAAATATCAAGTTCATTATTGCTCTTTTCTATTAATTAAAAAACCCTACATTTATTGTTTTATTTATATAATTTCAAGCCTCCCATCAGTTCACATTAATGTAATTCAATTTTGTTCCGTTAATAGAGGGCAGTATTGTCTTTTCATTAACTGGGATTTACAAACTGGTTATATGATTGTGATTCTATAGACTTGTTTTTCATTTTTACAAGTATGTAATATGAGAATTTCTGAAACCAATGGCATTTGTGAATATTTTTTAGTAATTACAGAAAAAAATAAGAATGGAGGCCAATCAAATTATAATAATTTTTGTCTCAAAGTGCTTCACATATAGTAGAGGATCCCCCTTCATCCACTATTGAAATTCAGCACCCACTTTGGTGATATGTACTGTGGCAGTTATAACACACCAGCAGCCTCACGCTAGATCAGCTGAAGGAGTGCAAAACTGCTCACCATTTTCAATTAAGGGGAAACTCCAGTGAGGCCACATTGTACAAGCCCACAATGTAATTTAGCCAAGATTCAGGGTTACCAGCAGCCATATCACCCTGCAACTCAGAACTGGCAACCCACTGAAGCTAAGCAGGTGTGAGCCTGGTCAGTACCTGGATGGGAGACCTCCTGGGAAAAAGTAAGGTTGCTGCTGGAAGAGGTGTTAGTAGGGCCAGCAGGGGGCGTTCATCCTGCGGTCTGTGTGGGTCCTAATGCCCCAGTATAGTGACAGGGACACTATACTGTAAACAGGCGCCGTCCTTCGGATGAGATGTAAAACCGAGGTCCTGACACTCTGTGGTCATTTAAAATCCCAGGGAGTTTCTCGAAAAGAGTAGGGGTGTAACCCAGGCGTCCTGGTCAAATTTCCCATTGGCCCTTACCAATCATGGCATCCTAATACTCCCCATCTGTGAATTGGCTTCATTACTCTGCTTTCCTCCCCATTGATAGGTGATGTGTGGTGAGCGGTTTGGCGCACTATGGCTGCCGTCGCATCATCCAGGTGGGGCTGCACATTGGTGGTGGTGGAGGGGAGTCCCCATTACCTGTAAAGCGCTTTGAGTGGAGTGTCCAGAAAAGCGCTATATAAGTGTAAGCAATTATTATTATTACCTGTAAATCTCCTGATTTAATGAACAGTACAGTACTTCCCAGTACTGATCAGGCCCAGCCTTGCTTACCATTCCAGATACAATGAGATCAGGTGACAAGGTGTAGATGTGACTGCTGTCATGTCTTGAAAAAAGTTCCACACCCTTTTATGTGTTATACCAAGTTCTTTTTATTTAACTGTTAATATACAAATCTATATAAGAGAGATTTAAAATAGAAAGTGTTTTGAAATAGGACTACTTGTGAGATTACAAATGACACAAAGAAAACATATCACACTCAGTGTGGCTCTCATAATGAAAGGTACTGTACTATATTCCAGAACAAATATTTGACTTAATGGATACAGTCAAAGCTAGAAATGATGTAGCAAATAAATTTTCACTTGCAGTTTCTAGTTGTCTTCCTATTGTAGATATTTAAAAGACTCTGGTTAAATTCATGACACAATTCCCCAAAAAGTGATATCTTAAAATTACCTTTCAATAATTTCATAGATTACCGACATTTCACTTGTACTGTATTCTATTGGATTGTACTGTAATCCTTTCTGTTGAAAATTCCCTTTAATTAGATTATTTAACAGGGGCTTTAGAGAACTTCTGTTTTGTGTTACAATGAATAAATTCCTAACCTGTGTAGGCTACAGTATATTAGTAGGCAGTAGTCTACTAATATACTGTAGTTAAAAAAAGTAAAATATATTGGTGCTATATCAAGTTACTGATCTCTTCAGCTATTTAAAAACAACTTTCTGGGGCTGCTTAAAACATGAGATCAGACACTCATATTTGATCCTGGGGACTCCAGAATAGCACTGGACAGGTAAAAAAGCTTACTTTGTGTATAGCCTCACTCTTCCCAAAGCAGGCTCTTTCAGATTAAGCCTCAAGATGTCAATTTTAGTTGGGAAAAAACCTGAGTTCAAAAGTTGCAATTCAATGCAAAAGTACTAAAGATAAAAATATTGACTGTGGCTCCCTTAATGGTTGAGATATGTCAGTAACATTAGCAGTTCAATGTGAAGAATTAATCTGCAAAGAACCTGGTTTTGGTAGAGTGAATAACATTTGCATTCCCCTGTTGACAATTGCTCTCAGTACTACAGAGCTTCAGTGCTGCATTATTTCTGCTGTGTATTGAGGTCACTGCATCACAGTTCTCACAGTATGACATTTACTCACAGTGAGAACAGCATTTCAGTGCTGCAACAGACTGAATATTCTCAATTTTGCACAGGTAACTGGCAGGTTCTTACAGTGCCACACAGCTATGAAATTGCATGGAAAACTATAATCAGGCAACAAGCCGATCTTGATTAAAGCACTTTGAAAATGATTGTCCTACCAGCATGCACAAGCACAGCATTTCATTTATGGCACTATGATGATACTGGGAAACAAGCATCAGCGAGAGCCTTTCATTTAAGATAAGCATGTCTCGTGTTTAATAAAACGTCTGCCTTCAAATTTTGCAAGACCTGCCAAGTGCAGAAGATACAGCAGGGATACAGGACCAGTTTCTGCAATTTCAGCCAAAAGATATAAAGAGGGCCTTTTAAGAACAGCTTTGTTGTTTTCTCTGCATTCTTTCCTATCATGATGGTAAATTTCTGCTTGTGTTGCTTGAGAAAACAACTGATAGAATAAGGGATAAGGCCACATTTACAAACTCCAGATTCTCTGACATACTTTCCCTATGAGTCGTACGCACTCTCACGATATTCCAGTCACACAGACCCCTCTTTTTTGTTTGTTTTATCCCAACAGATTTCAACCTACTCAAAAGAAAAGCAACACAACCCAAAGCAGTAAAAGTCAACCTTTTATCGTCTGTAAAAACATACTGAAAAGGTCGTCATCATGTACAACATGAGAGAAGTATCCAGAATGCTCTGTGCCTCACTTGACTCACAAAACTGTTGGTTGCTGTATTACAGGTCCTGTTCCCTGCTAATCAAGAAGAATGTTAGCTCTAACAAGATAGCTACATCTCCAGTTGTGGTCTGCTACAGTGCCTTCCCATTTTCATTCCACTAAACTGAAATAATGATCAGCTTAACGGGAACACTTTCAAACTTCCAGAAAAGAATTGGCCTCTTTATGATTTAAAGAGGACTATAAACCTTCCTGGATTTCGGCCTTTGAGGACCTGTGTCATGCACCACTAAGTTAAGAGATACTGCTACATTCCCTTGTGCAGTGAGACTGAGTTTAGGAGGAAGTTCTCATGAGATATTTGTGCCAAACCCCATGTGCTAAACTCAAGGATCCCTGAATGAAGATACCCATTTGTTTACTAAAGCATATGAAAGGTCACAGTTAAATTTACTGCATCCTTTGATAGCATTTCAAGAGAACAAAATGCAAGACTGAAATGTCGTTTTTTTGGAATAACTGAGACGTATTAACAAATCCAAAACTGTATTTTCCTAGGCCATGTCACTTTCGTATGAAAACTTTATAAGGAGGAAACAGAAACATCATAGACTTTAACATGCATTGTATGGACAAAGCACAAACATAAGAGTACATATTAAAGATATTGCACAGAATCAAGTGGTATTTTCCCGCTTGCCTGTTCACCTACAATGTGCTCTGTTTCTCTCTCTCATTCACACTCGCACACACACAAGCACATGAATTTCGTTAAGACACCCAACACAAAAACATGACATTAGGAAATGTCATATTAAATACAAAAGTAGCTACATTTATTTTTTAATTCATTGATTCTATATGTCATTTTCACACTACATATACAGTACTTGGCTAGGATTGTTTTTTAAAAAGAAGAAAATTTTGGTTCAGGAGCATTGTTTCTGCTATATACTGTATTTTCTATATATGTATTAACTGGTCTGAGTAAAACGTGTTTTCACATCAAAACTGTGTTTTATGCATTTAAAATAATTTATTTACAATTGCGCCGCCCCACCAATACACTATCATACAGTATATTCTTTTCTAAAATAAAAAAGAATAAATTATGCCATTTGTAATAAATTATCATAAAGGTCAATTGAAAAGCTTATTTGGAAATGTTTATGAATAATTCACTATAAGAGTTTTGTTCTTTTCTTTAAAAAAATGTTGTACATATAACATTAGAGGGGGAAGAATAATATATTGGTAATGATTCTGAAACAGAGACAAAGGGGCAAATGTCATTTGTAAAAGGACTCCTACTTTTCCAGGTCCACTGCCTTTCAGATTGCAGGATCACTTTGCAAATAACTTAATCTTCAAGTGGCCTCTACATTTTGGAACAATAGCCGGAGTTTTCTGCATCACCAGAACTACACCCAGTCTAAATCTCATTCCTGTGCAAATAATTTGATTTAAATACAACAAGCTACACATTTATGCAGAGATGTACGTTTTTACTTGGTTCAGATAAATCAAGAAGCTTTAACAGTTCCTTTAACGCAACTGCAGAGTCGGTCTTCTACTTCAAATCTCCTACATTCACTGGAACATAGACCTCTGGTAAAATGAATCGGCCCCAACCCAATTGCATATTATTCCAATGACGACAGTTCACTTAGGAAGTGATGCGCCATTTCTTGAGAATATTGCACTAATTTCCACTGAAGAAACTGACAAACTTGAGGATTTAAATGGTCAAATGCTTAAGAAGGTTAAGATGTTATCCAACTTGCATGAAATGCACAAAAAGATGATTCGGCCACAGAAGAGAAATTTTACTTGTCCACAAGGCCTGCATTCTGACCTAGTGTTACAGTCAAAGCCAAATGTATGCTTTACATTAAATGTAGGTAAATTCCACGAATATAGAGGTAGCCATTTCTAAACATTTCTAAACTCAAAGTCAGATTCGCTTTTGCTTCTTATTAAAATAAACATACAACAATTAGCTGAGGGGTGATTCAAAACTCTATTGTAGGTGTGGCTATCACTCATCTTATCTTTTATACTCTTTAATAAAAAGATATGGAGGTCTTCTGTTGTAAGATAAAAAAAACTGGCAGCCGAAGCTGACTTCCTGTTAGGCAGCTTTAAAAATTTGGTGCTTATACTGCAGAAGTACTGCTATTGCGGCCAACAAGGCAAACAAAGTCTCTAATAATGTTCTAAAAAGCATATCTTTTGTCTTTTCTGGATCATTACAGTGCTGTTGTTGGTGCTAGACAGTTTATTGAAAGAATGCGATGAATTTCCTGTTAGTGCTTGAGGGATATGCTTTGTTTTTCCTGTTGCTGTAAGCTGAGTCTCCATTGAATTCAGACTCTGCTTTCCCCAGAGTGGCACGCGGATGCTGGGAAGTAACAGTCTGGATTATCCTGTCTTCTCTTTGGTCCCTCCCTCCCCCTCACCAGTAGGTTCAGGGAGGTGGTTAACTGTGAAGCTCTTTACACTGTCACAAAGATAAAAAGAAAGCCACCATTTCAGAACCTTCTTGTGCTTGCAAATGTTGGTCCTGAGTTTCTCCTAAGCCATGCTGCTGGTGGGGGTGCTCTGGGTGCTGCCGATACTGGGGTTCGCACTGCTGTTCTCCGAAGGCAATGTGTTGGTGGGAACTGGCTGCCGTTTGACCAGAGAACAAGGACAACCTGTGAGGGGGAAAAAAAAGAAGCCCCAATTGTTTTTACAGACTTACCCTGGCTTACATCTCCTCCTATAAAAACAGTTGTTGTGTAGTCTGCGTTGTGAGTAAGTGTACCAGCAATGGATTTGGAAAGTGTGAACAAAAATGAACAAGTTATTACCTGAAAGATGGGTTGATCCAACATCAAGCCCAGAGGAGTATCCTAGGGGGAAAAAAAAAAACATTACATTTGATCCATATTAAAAATGTGTCTTTTAGACAGAGGCATAATAGCTTTACCAATTCTGACCATTCTCCCTAAACCATAGCCTTCTAATTAATCTTCTAATGTAGTAAAACAATTCTAATGAAGATACAACTTTTGGCTACATTTCCTTTTAAACTCTCCTTAAAAGTATGTTCATAATTGAAGCTGGGTCCTCAAACATCCCAGCTCATCCTAGCAAGCGAAATGTATTAATTAATCCAATTCAATCTTAAAATGTAATTCACAGTCTGTCACTTTTAAAGGACAAAAAAGGCAACTTCATTTGAATTCAGTAAAACAGAAAAATGCAGAAGACAAAAGAAAATAGCAAAATGTTAGAATATTGCTACTATATATGTTGCGCACCGACATAGTAACTTGAAATAAGGCTTTGTGATGAAAGTGAACTGAAAGAGATATACAGTACACAGAATAAAAGTGATTCTCACCAGTGTGCGTCTTGATGAACCACAGAGCCCCAATGAGAAGAACACCAATGAGGAAACCTCCAAAGGCTATCCCCAGGACAGCTGATAGCTCAAATTCATAGCACAGCTCTGAAACACAGACACAAGCAGGTGAATTAGGAGAGAGCCACGCAGGCCCCGTTTACATACAGCACAGCACTTCATTTAAAAGTTCGAGCTTTTATTATGTACTGTCAGATTTGTCATGAACCCCCCCCAAACAGGCCTTGATGAATGTTCTCAGTGCAAAGATGTCTAAATTCTTGTACAAGAAGCCCGAGAAAGGGAGTTGAACTGACCGGATACACTACATGTGAGCTACAAAATTTCCTGGCAAACAATATGTGCTTTCATCCGTCTCCTAGCATTTATTACTAATGAACATGCTCAAACAATTTCATCAGCACTGCTTCAGTTCATTCTTGTGCGCATATTCCACAGATCGACCAAGACTCTATAGGATTTCATTGATTTTGGTACAGTACAAGCTCTGTAAAAAGTAAAAATCAAAGCATTTCAAAGTGTAGAGTGCCAAACTGAAAGCTGCAAAAAACAGGAATGCTGACATGTCGACAAGCATCATTTCTATTCAATCGCGCACAGATTTACTGGCACAAGAACAGTCCACTTGAAAGCTGTCTTTAGGAAACCAGTCAGGCACTGGGCATCCTGTAGTCTTTCTCAATGGCGACGTTAATTAAAATGTTTACACCTTTTATACTGGCCTCATGACCTCCCTCCTATCTTATGCCAGTAATGCACTACTCCATGTTTTTCTCTAAACATGAGGGAAAACTGTTTTTCTTGGAGTGCTTTTTGCAGACTTTTAGGTTTTACTTCAGATGTCATATTTAAGAAATAAGAATTGTTTTTTTTTTGTTGTTGTTGTTGTTGTTGTTGTTTCCTGCAGCATGAACTGGATCATCGCTGTTGACAAACAGGGATTAAATCTATCAAGAAATGGTGGTGTGGTACAACCAAATTGTCACAGAATAGCAAACAATCAAATTCTTTCATTTCCTTTCATTTTTTTTCTTCTTGAAGTCTCTCCTTTAGACTCACTGGCTTAATTTGCAAAGCTTTGATTGTTCATTTAAGTTCTCACATCTAACAATTAACAAGCGTGTGCAAATCAATGTTTTATTCACAATAGGGTTTGAACCCCCCGTTAACATTGGATAAGTCTCCAGCGCTGGGTTGAATTTAGAACATAACTATAGTGCTTCAGTCAGCCTTTCAGTCACGCCTTTGATGTGCTTTGAATTTCACAATGGTCCGCCAAAAACAAATTTGATAAACGGATGTTCATGTTTGCTCCAACAATCGGCGCACTCTGACACAGCCATGCAGCCTGACTTTCTCCCCGTCTGCAAGATCAGGATGTACCCTGTGGCTCAGTCTCTCTGTGCTCCAGAGGAGCCCATTTCAAAATCAGCCAAAAAAACAGTTTTTAATTTCTTTGTTTTCGTGCACCGTCACTGAAGCTGAGCAAACAGAAGCAGGATGTACAATAACCCAGGTGGGAGGAAGTAAAGCGCAGTGTCAGGGGGAAGGAAAATAGATATGGACTGAAAACCTGAACCCCAGGCCCCAGAGAGACATCCCAAACAGGAAGGAAAGTAGAGTGGTGCCGGAGCTCCTGAAAATCAAAGCTACAGACACCACAATCCAAACAGTGCACGCAGGCCTGTGGCCTTCGGTCATTCCAGCTGCTGCTGCTGCCTCCACACTTTTGTTGTCACAGACAAGCCTTTAAACACCTTCAATGGAAAATATTCTAATTCAAACTGATAGTAACTCCTCTTGGAAAAGCTGAGTACTCTACATGCCACTGTATTTGAAATGAATTCTCAGCAACAGCAGGACGGTATTACAGTAAAGCATGCCGTGAAAATTCCATGAAAATTGGACAAATGGAAAAGGATAAGACAAAAATACTACCTAAATAGTACTTCAAAACAGTAATTAGTTAAGAGACCGGCCCTTTTTTTATTTCTTTAATCATGATTTCATAGTTTTTTAAATTAAAGCCCAAGCAAAATGCGCTAATAATAAAGTTTTTAAAGCTAATATAATCATTTTCTTTTAAAAAACTCTTATGATAATAGTGGGGTTGAATGAAAAAAATGTTGTCCACCTCTCCGTTTCAATTCATCCAAAATAATTTGAAATGTTTTTTTTTTCTGGTCTCTTCAGAGTGAGGGAACTCATTGGTTTGAAAGAATCTGATTTGATACTACCTCGTTTGAATTTTTTTTTAAAAAGCCAACAGGCCTCTGTGTTTTTTTTACTATTTTGCATATTTTAGTGATTTTTTCTTTCAGCTGAGCATTTTGATATTAGATTAACGCAGTCTTAAAGTGTTCAGTTTAAATAAGTGAAACTGAGGCTTTGTGATTAGTCTCACACGGAAGTGAACTTTCCAAAAAAAAAACTGCCCACGCAATCAGGAGAAAATTGGCTCTGCTTAGCAGTGTAACTTGGCAGACCTTACATTAACTTGGGCAGAACAGCAAAGGGTTATTGATGTCAATATTAAGTTGCCTGCCATGTAATGACAGGAAACTCTTTCTGTTCGTGTTGGCATCAGTCTCCACTTCTGCCAATACCCATGCCCCTCAGCTACTCTCTTTAGTAATTATGTAAGATAACATGGAAAAATTATTTTACTGCTACATTTCTCCTGCCCTGGTCTTTGGTAACATATTTTGTCCAGGGTGAGGTAAAGATGATTGGTCTGTATCACCCTGGCTGTGTTTTGTTGTACGTTTAATGAATCAGGATCACATTTGTGAATTTTCAATCATAAGGCATACAAACTTTCAATAGTATTTAGATCTTTGAACAGGAATTTGTGGCTTAAAAGCAAGCAGTCATGACACATTGAAGTAGTATTTAATACTTGTTATATGAACAACCTACGCCACACAAAACCAAAAAAGAAAGATGTAAATAATTAACATGAAATAAAATGGAACAGACAGTATTGCATAAGTAATCAAACTCTTTGCTGTGGCAAAACTAAAATATTTAAATGCACAAAATTACATTACACATTAATCCCCACACAACTTGAAAACTTTAGAAAATCTGCCAAGATGAATGGGTATAAATCGCACCATAAGCTGTACCAAATTGGTAGAGATTTACCCGAAAAGACCTTCGGCTGAAATTGCTGTCAATGGTGCTTTCTCCATACAGTATAGTCCTGTAAACTCATGATTTGGAATGCCTATGTAATTAACATAGTTCAGATTTTTTTTCTCCATAGGTTTTGCTGACATTTATTGCAATTTATCTTGCCCTTAGAATTCTTTAGTAAGATCATTCAATGTTTTAATAATATATTAAGTTTTAAACAATTTCACAAAATGGGATGCCATAGGAAGAGTCCGAAAACTTTTGCAAGGCACTGTATCTGAAAAGACACATCTTTCTGATATACTATGTAATGTTATTGCAAATGGTAGAAAAGTCTTAAATCTGATATGGAATTGCTTTGTATTTATTTAATTTACAATTTATTTGTGATTTATCAATGACTAACTAATTTTTAACTAATTGAGCAAGAGTGTCTAGATAGTGTGTCCTGTTATGGCAATAATTTATTTGCCTTGTTCCTTTGATGCCTTAACTCTGACATGCTGAAACTGAGAATGTTTTTTATTTTATTTTACGTGTACCATTTCACTTGAAAAGATCAGATCAATTCAGTCACATTCCGTCTTTGTTCTAAGAAGCTGGGCATGAATGCACTCATTCACAATATCTTCCATTTCAATCTCAAGTCCCCTTAAATATTTTTTTTAATACCAATACCAATTGCAGTACAATGTTAATCTTATTCCTGAAGTTTCCTCAGGTGTTGCAGCATACTGACTGATATAAGAGGTAGGAAGACAGAAAAAAAAGAAATTCCTGAAGACGACTGCCAAATATTCTTGGACTTATTCAGAAAAAATAAGATCACTAGAGCACAAACAGCCCTTCCTATTGGCCCTGTTTGACATTTCAGAGGAATGTAGTGTCGTGCTGCTTGTCTGATAGTTAAGATAACTTGCCTTTGAAGAACAACACCTTCCCCTCTTTGTGTAGCGGTGACAATAGTGCGGAGGTCTGTGTTTGGGCTGGCTATATTCCAGGCTTCAGATACAATAAATCCCCCACAGGCTCATCATTGCTGATTGCAGCCATGAGGTCAGGCCACAGACCTTCCTCAGGGTCAGGCCCCACCTTGTCCCTGCCTCCCCCCCCCAAGAAAAACCCCCGACAAGACCTCCCAACCTCATTACTATGGCAACATGGCTGCCTCCACCATATTCTGTAGGCGTAGTCAAGGCCGGACTGAGCGAGCAGCCTGACAGAGACTGACTTCCAGGACTTTGTCATGTGCTTTCTGCGGTTACGTGCATTTCTTGCCATCCAAAGAGGCAAAACAAAGACATAAAATTAAAAAGGTAAAAAACAGGAAAACAGGAATCGGCTTTAAAAGTAAAGATGTCAAAGCCATGTTTACATGCACGTGTATTTTTTTCCCCTTTTTCAGTGACAGTTCAAATGGAGCTTGACTTGTCTGCAATCAGAACCCGTTGTTGCAAAGTTCCTACACTACAAATCTTACTTACTAGATTGTGAACACGATTTTCTAACTTCCAGGCTTGTCTTCACACTGCCTCCTTCGGCACAATGCTAGTTGACAAAAGAGGTAAAGGTTACAGTATATCATCAATGTGAAAGGATACTTTAATTCTCTCTCAGTTACCAACTGACCTCCCCAAATAAAACAAACCTTGTCCTCAACATTTGCACTATAGAATGCAATGTACTGGCTGCTTATGAAATTAGCAGGCCTGTTCAAACACTTTTGAAAATGCCAGCAGTTCTGCTAGAGAATACATTCAAGACATCATGGAACCAAATAAGGGCAAACTGATACATCTCCAATATGCAATAAAACAGAATTATGAGTGAGAAAGGGATGTACTGTAGGCAAAATAAACAGTTTTAAGGAGCATAATTGTGATTACTATAAATATCAATACTTTTGATTCCAAGTCTTAGAATTTCTAGCAATGTATTGAATTTTATGGTGCATTTAACATACCAAGACAGTGTGAGCTGAAACAACTGCAATGTAAAGAAGACAGTAGAAAGAGTGGGCTCTTAACCACACAGGTATGCTGCTCCCACAATTGTGTGTGGAGAAAAAAAGTACATTTTGTAACTATTTTTAGTTTGAAATGGTTCTCTGAACAATTTTAATTGGTTCTCTGAGTGTCATGCCAGATAGCTCAAAGCTCAGAAAATAACCCTATATATATACAGTACAGTAAGATATACTGTAGATAAAACTACCCTACACTTAGTAGATCTGAAAAATAGGAACTGCTTTATTTCACAATACTGTAAATTTCACACTTATTTTTACCACATATAAAACCTCGTTTGGTTATCAAGCCCACCCAAAACAAAAAAGAGCCAGCATACCAGTAAAAAGCTAACAAACAGAGGTGAGGTTAAACTGAAAAAAGGACACTCAACCAACTGAAATGTAATCACAGGGTATTGTGCACACATTGCAAGGTGTAAGCTACAAACCTGTTCAGAACACAGTTTTGTAAAACACTCCAGCTCCAAGTTGACTTCAGGCAGATTTGGAATTTCATGTAAACTGAAGCTGATCCTTGTCTTGTTTATGGGACAGATATATGAGGGACAGCTCTCATTCTGATAGGGTATTCTTCTGTCCACATTCCAGGAAACTTTTGCACGGACTGAGCACTTATAAACTGATACCTTCATCGAAACAACCCCCAGCTGCACACTTGTTACCTAGAAAAGACAACGAGAGAAGCAGGTCAGTTTTTTTTGTTTAGATAAATGTTTACGTCTTACTGTCAAAATACTATTTCATGATAAAACGGGAGACTCAAGGAATGCCTGCACACAAACCCAACATAACACCATTTTGATAACAAAACATCATTTCCCAGGAAAACACTGTCCTAATAGAATACCCCTTTAAAACTAGACTAAAATAGACTTTTATACCAAACTCAAACAAACCTAAAACCTTTATCAAATAATGTATAGTGGCTATGCAGTAATAGTGCCAGAGCAATTCTTCAAAAGGCCACCTTCTTTAAACTGTATGAAACATTTAATTATTATCAATAATATATCAAATATAAAGAATAAACTTCTGATCCAGCTATCTGCATTTTTATGCTTTGTAGTCAGTGTGCTTGAGATTTTTCCACTCTCTCAGCTATCAATGTATTTTTGTAATTCTACAGAATGTACCAACAGCATACCTCAGCATATATCCTCTTGTCACTCCAAACTTTCTCTGTTGGATCAATGGGACAGCAGTAATCTGGAGAGCTGTACAGCTGCATCAATAAAGATTTTCTTTGATCATTAGTGTTCTTAGTAGCAGCAGAGGTAGTCTTCACGGTTGTAGTTGGTGATGTTGTCTCTGCGTACACAGAAAGTACTGTTTAGAAAGATCTAAGGCCAAACCCCATAGTAAGCACTCCACTAAATAACAGCATAATACGATAAAATAAGAATGCTGAATGGTTTTAAGTCTTTTAATTATTATTACCTTCAGAAATAAAAGAACTATCAGAACAAGACTGTATTTTTATGTGAAGTGATATTTTCATTAGGTATCAAAAATATTCACAGCATTCAGTATGAATTCTCAAAAATACAGTACATTAAAAATAATAATGAAAAAATAAGCTTTTTAGAAAAAGGCACCCCTCCTGAGTTTTTATGGAGATATACAGTACATTAAACAAATGTTCACAAGTTTCCTACTGAATAACTAAAATCACAAATACAGTCTATTATTCTAATCACAGTAGAGAAAATGCTGCACATGTGTCACATACAGTATATGTAATTATGGCAACAAACCACAAGAACAGATTTCTCACCGACAGTAACATCAGTGCAGCATGGGCGCTAGCTACAGTATCCTGTGTTTTGCACGAATACAATACCTGTCTTTCCAGAACAAGAAAATTACAAAACTATGTTCATATGCCAGATTTGTTGCTTTGTTTCTGTTTTCAAAATCTTCAATTATATGGATTTTTACTAACAAAGAAGCCACGTTTCATACAGATGTTTCCACATTATCACTTTTAGAGCCGCAAGAATGGTAAACTAACTGAAATTGAGTGCAATGAAATTAAGATACATACTGTAGGAAGACTGGTGTGATCTGACGAATGATTGGAGTGGAGTAGATCAAAGATTTAGACTATGTCATTAACTACGTGGTATGTCTAAACACCGCGTTGTAGCATGTTGCTGAAATTGCATGAGTCTGTTAATGTATATGGTATCAAATCAATCACTCATGATAACTTGTTTTGCACTCAACTGTATATTAGCTTTATTGATTGAATTATAATAAGTCTCCACATCATTAATGTACTTTATAGAACAGAGTATTAATCGAGTTAGAATGGATTCAGTTGTCATTTCCTATTGTCTGTTACTGCTATCTTATGGGTCCCTTATCTATTAAAAATCCCAGTTCCACACAGTCCCTTTCCTTCTACATTAACCACTTTTGGTATTTACCAGTTTTGCCCAAGAGAATTCTTATATGGGTTCCACTTCCAGCTCCAATTTCACTGTAGGAGGCAATAGAGCTTGATTCCAATCTTTTTTTGGCAACTCCTACAATCTCTTCATAGGTATCTGTGAGGTTCGGATCAGAGGGTGGAAATAGGAACCAGGCACCTTCAACGTACATGCTAATATTGTTGTTAGACTGAAAAAAAGAAGTTAAACTTTAATTAGTGTGACATATTTCTTCTGTTTTGCCAAAATGGACATAGAAAATATATATATTTTAATTTTAAGACTGAGAAGCATGGTGACAGGGAACTTAAGGGGACAATAAGGAAAATAAATGAATAAGATAATGCATGGATTTCCTTAATATGACCGTCTGCACAAGGTTAATGAGTCATCCACAGTGCAGGCTTTGGTAGAGCAAAATCCATGAAGGTCTTGCACTAACAATGAGGGCAGCAAAACACACGACTTTAGTTTTAATGATACAGTCATTAGCAAGACTCGAAATTCCTGATTTCAGAAATGTTTACAACCATTGTAAAGCAATGTAAAATAAAAGAAATTAGGGAAACTACATTAACAGAATTCAGCTGCAATCAGTGACACATTTTTAATGGCTGATGTTTTTGCTTCAGAATCTCCTTACCAAAGTTTTATATGCCCCTCTGACATTCCACACTGTACCAACAGGACCTCTCAGGAGTACTTCATAACCCTCCTTTAAGATTTGCAGGTCAATCTGTCTATAAAAGAGTAAATAAATACCGCATTATCTAAACTATCCTCCTAGAGCACAAAAACAAAGCATTTCCAGAAACAAAACATTTGAATTCCCCAATAAATACAATGATTTGGAGTGCAGACCAAGGCCTATATTTTCCAGACATTACCAGTTCAACTCTAAAATACTGTATGTTCTTAGCGGACTGTGACCAGAAATCTGCCACTGTACGTCTGTGCTGATAAGTAAATCATGTCACAGGGTGATAGAAATAGGAGTAGGGTAACAGCTTGGTTTACTTTTCTTAGGTTTGGTGTGTATTTTATTTCTCATTTGCACCTGTGTCTCTCTCCTTTAAGATCTTCCTGCTGCCCTAGTGCAAACAGCAGAAAACAATCATCATAGACTGACTGGCATGCTCTTTGACTGGACACTAATCACCACACAGTCGCAGGTGACACACCTGGAACAGACAGGGAAGGGAAAGGAAGGAGAGGAAGGAGAAATCTGTGTACAGTCAGTTGTGCAGGTAGCCACCGGGAGTTTACAATACATCCGCATCACGGTACATCTCCTATGATCACCTAGACATTCCTGCCTTTTATTCAAGTTCTGAATGGAGTTTTGGCCAGAAAAGGATAAAACACCCAGCCAGCAGAGTCAGGAGATTCGGTCTCTCTCATCTCCGCCAGCCTTTGATGCACATGGCCAGGGCAGGACTGTGTCTGCTGGCGAGACAACTGAAGGAGTGTGTTGTGTTTTTGTTTTCTATCAGTATGACTGAAGGAAGCGTGTCTAGATGGCTGGACTAAGCAGATTACATACTCCTGGGGAGTACACAGAATCCTAGAGCAGGCGTTTTTGTGTTTTTGATATGAGAATGACTTGTGGGATTTTCTTGAGCAGCCTTTGCAGAAAAAAGCACAGAGAACCACAGCAATCTGTTGGATAAATTTAGAATAACAGACACACACTCATCCAACAACAAAAGATGCAATCCATTAACTATTTAATCATGCAATCACTTTGAAAAGGGGACAAATTAAAAATCAGGATGTTGTACAGTAAGTCTTGCTAATAGACATGGGATTTAAAAACAGAGCATAACGCGGAATCTGAAAGTGAGGGTTTTGGTAGACAAAGAATAATGTGTAGTGAGAGATGAGATAGGTAGTTGAATAGAGAATAATGAAAATAGGGGGTCTTGCATATGTGAACTAGCTGTGCAGAAACAACACTTAAAGAAGGGGACCTGGGCACCTGTCACTGCCAGAGCCACATTTAGTTTGGATGCCCGGAAGGGACCACTAAGTGTGAATCTGGTGCTACTGGGGAAAACATTGAGTGGTGAGGGTTATGATGCTGAGGGCTTGAGGAATTGTCTCTATGCTTGTATGGGAACCAGCCACACTGGGAATTGGGATCAGAGAGAGATCACTTGAGGCTTGATAGGCTTGATGAGGCTCTAGGCATCTCTAGGTAAGACATCAGTAGTGGAAACTGAGTCCAAAACTGAGGTCCTGTCAGGAAGACAGAACTACCAGGGATCTGGAATAGAGAAACATAAGCTGGAGGCTAGAGCTTTTGGTATGCTGAACCAGAATTGAAACAGAGTAAACAGCACTTAAGCTGGCCAGAAAGAAAGGAAGAGGATTGGGCGTGTAGGTGGTAGTCCAGTTGGACTCACAGGTTAAAGAGAAAATAGCATTCTGGAAGTCTCGAAGAGGAGGAAACTCCTTGGAAGCTAATGTAATTTCCAGTAGAGGCAGTGGTATTTCTTGATTTATGATAAATTGCAAACAAAAGACTTCTTGCTTGGAAACTTGCAGTATCACAGTGGATTGAAACAAACTGGGGGATCTGAGAGAGAAAATGCAACACCAATAGTAGCTGCAAAACAGAAATGCTTCAACACTGGAAACAGAGATATCTCTTAATAATAAAGTAAAATTCATTAGTACAGAATGTCAGCTGAAGGCTAGAACGTGATGTTCAATAAATTGTGGAATGTGTTCCATGGACAAAACACCATGGAACATCAATTTGAAATTGCAAACAGAAGGATATTTAAATAAGCAACACAGCAGCTGGCTCGCAAAGATGAACTGACATAATTTCAAGACAACAGTACGCCACTTTCAAACCTATTTGCTATGAACCTTTCAGTCCTGTTTTTCCTATATTTGAAATGAGCAGTTATCAGTGGCTTCCAAGCAGTAATTAACTCTTTTTAGGGAACAAAAGTAGAGAAACATAGCCTTACCTGGTATTTGCGCTATCCAGTACATTAATAATGTGTACTTTCTTTATTGAAGCCTGATAGCTGCAAAACCGCTGCAGCACTTTATTTTCAAAGGTGAACTCAAGGAATTTTTCAGGGTAAAAGGAGGAATTGGGCACACATTCTGAATCACCGTTTTTGTCTGAGAAAGGACAAAAAATGGAAAATACAGCAATGACAAGGATATTATGTAGAGAGCTTATAAATGAAAGCTAAACTTATAATGCTGTCTTAGATATGAGAATCACTGATTTCTGAGTTTTTCAGAGCAGCACTGAAGTTCTACATGTATTTTTTGTACATAAAATGAAGATTGTAAAGTTATCTTGCACCATTAAGTCTTAAATGACTTCTCGCTGCTTAAAGCTTTTAATTCATTTTAATTTTCACTCTGTTTCAACATTTTGATCAGTACACAGCAAAAACCCACTAATAAAAACTGTTCTCAGGATATTAATCATAATGTTTCAATAACTCATAGATGCTTTTAGTCAGGTGTACCAAAGTTTTCATACCAGTTATGTGGCTCTATATATTGATTCGTCTAATTTGCCTTGGTACTTTTCAATGTTTCTTTTTTAGAATGAAAACTATTAGTGTATATATATAAAAGTTTAGTGTTTTATAAGTTTATTCTGATACATTTTGATGGAATATTCTGCCCAATTAGAGGTGTTTCATGTCTAATTTATGCTATACCACCTTGTTCATGTTTTGTATTAAATTTGCATTTTTCGTATTTGCTCTTTTACGTTAGTGCAAAATTGATCTTCATTTAAACAGATGAAGCCTTGGCCAATTCAGTGTCCTTATCTGGAGCTGTGCTGTTTTCTTTCGATACCTGGATGACACACCTCATTGTTTAGTTCTGGTCTCCTAACTGTCCCCCAAGCCCGTCTACATTGTATGGGTGACAGGGCCTTCTCCTGTTATGCCCCCAAGCTCTGGAACTCTCTGCCCAAGGATATCAGAGAGTCACCTTCTCTAAACTCCTTCAAATCCAGATTCAAAACCTTCTTCTTTAGAAGAGCCTTTACTTAACTGGTTCCATTCTTCACCCCTCTGCTTTTCCTAGTACCACCCCCCACGGTCTCCTCTGTATATTGTAATTGTGTTTTATCTTGTGTAATTCTTTTTATTTATTGTTGTTCTCATTCTGTAAAGAACTTTGAGAAGCCACCTTTAAAGGCGCTATATAAAATAAAGTTTATTATTATATTATTATTCAGTACACTGAAATGCTGAATAATTAAATTTAAATGAACAATTCAAGAAAAATATTTCACTACTTAATACTATATGTTGTGCATTGTAGCTTTTCTAAATGAAACTTGAGAGTATCTGTACTTTGCACTACTGATACACAGGCAATTCAAGGTCAGTTTAAATTTGTTATGTAAAATGCTGATGATTTTTATTGTATGTGTTTCTGTGCCCTGTCTGGTTGGTACTCACCTCTCCCACCAGTAAAACTGATGTTAACAGGGTCTCGAAGCACTGTAAAAGAGGTGACACCTCCAAACTCCTGCTTCGCCCACTTTAAAAGATCACTGATATCTGATGGCAGGTCCTTGATACCTAAAGGTTCCCCCGGAAAAAATTTAATTTGGGATGGATTTCTCTGTGAAAAATAAAAATAAATTAGTCTCCCTTGTCTAAAACACCAGCGTTTCTTTTCAATTGGCTTTTTAAAATGCTGATGCTTTTTCTGTTTGTAGTTTGTATCTCATTTGTTCAACCTTCCTACAATATCACTGATGAAGAACAGCTCTAAACAGTAGTTCCTTAGAAATCCAACTCTCAGTCACTTTAAGCTCTCATATGCTCAAGGCTTATTAAGTTAATGGATTTTCCAGTCAGCTCCTCTGTATCACTTAAATAGAAACACCATTCTATTACGTTTCTAATCATCAACTAAAAATAAGGATCTGTTTTAGTGACATTCCCCAATGCAGTGCTGTAATTAGGCTACAATCCTTAGAGACCAGACTTACACGTTCTTACAAAAAAGATAACGACACATATACTCAGAATCCCCACTAAGACACTGCTTGCATCGTTATTGATGACAGGTATCTGTGCAGTTTCACCATGGCCATCTTGCAAAGCTGACTGAGCTGGCCTCTTTATTCAGTGCTCTGATCAAGCAGCGCCCTCCCGGCAGGCTTTCAGGTTCTTTCTTTTTATTCTTGAACCAAACCGATTTGAAAAGGAATGTTTATTATCCTGAAGTGTAGAGAGCTCCCTGCACGACCCTCTTGGAGCCAAGGTCTTTCCTGAGCTTCCTGTCCGGGGACAGGAAATGAGACCTTTTTAAACTCTGTGCGTCAGTGGAGTTTGCAGCCTAGCAGAAACGAAGTGTCTCTTTTATTTCTAGGCTCTGTGCTGGGCCGGGAGAGGAATATGGAAAACTCAGAAAGTAATAGAGACTGATCTGATACATCTTTTAATGTTCAGTTTGGGTGGGTTCTTGTTTTTTGTATATAAACTTCTGAGTCTCTGGTTTCAAACCTGTATTTAATTCCAGACCTCTCACACACCAGACCTGCTTGATAGATCGCAGTGTAAAAGATCTAATAGGTTGAGCCATTGGATAAATAAGTCTAGTGGCATTAGTATTGCTGGGGAGTAACAGTGCCTACATGGACCTGTTCCTGTGATCTACAGGTAGTGTAACAAGTTTTTGAAAATTACTGCATGTTTTTTTATCTTTGATCAACAACAATACCACAGGTGGGATGGACTTTGAGTTTCTTGCGATTTTCCTTAATAGGTCCTTAATAGATTTGACAGAAACCATTAAAAAGTATTCACTGAAACCTTTTAAAGAATTAAAGAATATTCTTCACATACTCTATACAGTGTGGATGGAACTTGTGTTGATTTCTCTGTGTCCTCATGTGTCTCGAATTTGTCTTAATCTTTTTTTTTACATTTTTCACTATTTCCCAGTTTTTATTTCAGCTCAGTTTTTACTGACTTCCTTTGTTTACTGCTGCACCTTGTGCTCAGAATCCTACCACAAACCTTTATTCTGGTTTTCAGGGGTTTTATATTAATTTCTACAGTGTACGCTCAAAAGCATGTAGAAAAATGATGTACATGATATGAAATGTGTATATACAGTACTCTTTCAACAGAATACCTTTGCTTAGTTTACATAGACTACAAATACTGAATAAAAAAAAACTGATGTAACATAAGTAGTATATAAAAAATAAGAAATATAGCCAGTTTACAAGGAGCACATAAGATGTTACTTACAGTTAACTGAAAGAAAGTGTCCAGTGTACTACATTTTTTCTGTTAAATGCAGCCACTGTCCATTGACATATGTTTCCATCAATCATAGATTGTGCAGCCCAGCAATGTCATTCTTTATCGAAACCTGAAATAGAATCTGTTGGGAGGGTATCCACACCCAAACTACACACCTGGTTCAGATTGTGTATCCTGACTAGCTAGATAAATTAATGTGCTAGTGGACTGAACCATGTTCTCATTTTTTATTCATTGACTAAAGCAATCATTCTGTTGGTTGAAGTATGACATCTGCTTTTCAGCAACTCCACTGTAGGTTTTAAAGCTGTCTGATTATAGTGCTGTCTATGATGGGCATTTGTTGTGCCTGTGTTTGGTATGTACAATATACAGTATATTAATTGTACCGAGTGTTGTGGACGCTAAGTTCATGACATTCAAACCACCATTGCAGATCAAAAAGATTATTGCCATGAAACAGACAGAAAGAGATGAGTTTTCAAACTTTATCCTTTAACAGGGTTTTTAACGCTAATGTATTTGTTGAAATGTTGATTTCTATTTCCACAGAGCAGCCTGGGCACAAAAAAAATATTTTTGGAATGATATTCTGCAGCTGAATGGTGTTGTACATGGCTCAGAGAATTATGTGTAGATTACAGCTCTTCAGTTGTATCTCTGAGATGTTTAAACCAATTTCCCTGCTTGGACAATGTTTAAAATCTGATTGGAACAGATTTCTCACAATTCCCAGCACACATTTACAATCCTAATGAAATAATAACAAATGCCATCATATAACGGAATGAGTTACAGTTAGTTCATGTTTCTTTCTTAAAACAGTTTTAAAAAACTTATATTGCACCATAGCATTGCACAAAGTCATATTTATCTATAAAATAAAAATAAGTAATTGAATTATAGGAAACACAGCCATCATACAGTACCTATAATACTGTATGATGGGTTTTGTTCCTATGCGATCGAGGGTATGAATAATTGTAGTTGACACTGTATCTTGGGATGGCTGACTATGTTGGGATGTTTGTAGAGGTTCAATAAAAAGTAAGTGTGGTGTCTGATGTGTGAGTGCAATGTGACTGAGATCACCAAAAGAGTGGTTGTAGCTGGTGAGTACTGTGGAGGTGGAAGAGATGTACTGTACTGCAGCTGGAATGAAGTCCACACTGCCCACTGGGGCTCTGAGAGTGAGACTGGTGAACGCGGAGTTAAGCAGTAGAGGCTACTGGCTGTAGTGACTGCATGCGTAGTAGGAAGACGCCAAAGAAGAAGCATGGCCTAGATAGCTGAAGGCTGTCGGTCGCACATGCTTGAAGGTGTGTGAAAGTAGGAATGGTGTGAGGGGACACAGTAGGCACAGAAGATAACAGCCTTCCCCAGAAGGGGAACAATGTGTGAGACCTAGAAAGAACACAGTAAGGGAATACGTTGGAGGGGTCTGGCCTGTGGCACACCTTGGAGTGCTTTTCCTGGTGGCCTGTCAGGCTGGAACAGCTCTTCTCTCCTTGTCTTGTCATGCACAAGTGAGTGAAAACAGGAAGGCACATGCAATGCTCAAGTGAAAGAGTACAAAGATGGTGCGACCGTATGACTGAATGGTGGTCACTGAGCTGGAAAGGTCCAAGAGGTTAGAAAACCTGGGACTGTGAGACCAAAGAGCAAGAGAAGATCTGTAGTTCCCTAGTCCTGAAGTGTCAAGGGTGAGGTGGGGCTTTGTAGGCTCTAGGCTTGGCCAATAAACAGTGGGTTGTTTGCGTAGTTGATGACTAGAAAGCAGGAAGTGCAGCCGGAAGGACGCTGGCTCTGTGTCATGAAGGTAGTGGAGATGGCCTGTTTGCATCCCGGCTCTCTGGTAATGAGTCATGTCTGGCTTGTCTGTATTACAGGGGGGCAGAGACAAACCCCAGCAGTGCATACTAGAAAGTGAGTTGTTGTGTGTACAGTATATGTGTAAAAAGAAAGTTTCCCTTTTTTAGGGGATGGCTGTTTGTTATGTACTGTGGAAGAAGAAAAAGACTCACTGAAGTGAGTAGTAAGAGGAATGATTATGCAGAAACAGGTCCATAAATCAAAATAAGAAAGCGAAACAGACAGAGATACAGGCTCCACTGAAAGGTCTTTGTCGCAAGAGGTTAAGACAGCAATACAGCAATAGGACAATGGCATGTGCTGGGAAGGGGAAAGATCAGGATCGTCTTCCAAGAGCTGTTCTGGGCTTCCCATTTCGCAGAGATGAAATGGCCCATAGAAAGAGGTCCATCCCTCCCTTCTTCACTTACTAATTTCATTAACCCCACACAGACCTTTGGCAAAAGCAGCTTGCTGAGGTCAGTTTCAATGCTCAATGGCACTCCCTGACCACACTGGCTGTGTCCAACATCTATCAGTGGGGAGAAAAAAACCTCAAAGATAAGGTCAGAGTTGCTGAGTAGATTTCCTTGTTTATGAAAGAATTTGCTCTATGATAAAGAAAGAGGTCACTCAAACAATCAAAGCTTGATCATTTTTCATGAGACAATTGTATCCTAGAATACTTTTGACCTTTCCTAAGGAAGTGTAGATTGCGAAAGAAGACAAATGCTGTGTCTTCCAGCATTTGCTATCTTTAGCAGACAAAAAGCAATTTTTCTAAAATTCTAAAAAACTGGCACCTATAGGAATAGGTCTCCTATATGTTTCCAGCAGTACCACAAATATCATTGCTGTAGGAATTTGTGGCACCGGTGTTAGAAAGAAATTGTCCTTAAGCTATTTCCGAACAGATTTTTTGTGAAGCTCCGGGCCTACTAAACACTCTCAAACACACCCATACAAATTACACTCATATTGCAATCATATTGCACCCATTCACAGCTGTAGTACACCTATCACACCTGCATTCTCAGCACATCTGCCCAAGAACACCTTCACTACGCCCACAATGCAAGACAGTTTGGAGGTGCTTCAAAATATTTTTCACAGAAAAGGTCTTACTCAAAATGTACTGGGACATAAAAGCTGGGTTACAATCCGTTTTACATATTTTGTGTCGTGTCCCATTAATTTGGCACTTTAGACAAATCATCCTGCTGTTGTGTGGGATAACTGTTTTGTCCGATATAACAGTGCTGCAAAGATTTATCAGTCCCTAGTCCTCCCCCCCCCCCAGGCTAAACTAGGAGAAAATTGTCCACCTCATAGTTAACGAAAAACATGCACTAATTGCTTATCGTGCACATGGAAAACACAAGGCCCTCATTTTTATCTTCTAGATTACATCAGGAATGAACAGTAAAGGATATGAAAAACGGGGAGGAATGCTTCTCCTGCCATCACTGGGGAGGCAAACAGTTTCAACCACTGACATTTCTTTGAAACTAACCATGTGTCTCAGATTATTTTGCACAGAAACAGCTGACTGATTCAGTGCTGTTCTCTGTCACAGTGGCTGTCATCCTCCCCAACATGTTTTCTAAAACATTTATTTTTTTACATTTTCATCGAAAAAAAAAAAACATCTGTTCTTTGTCAACATTATTCAGACATCTTCCCAATAAGTCTCCATCTTGTGCTAATAAACCACTGACCAAATAAATTGTATACTATAGTACATGGCATAGTGTTAAAAGTACAAAATGCAAGACCCTGGAAACTTAAAGCGATACAGCTACAAAAAGTATTGAATATTTAAATACAAATTAAAGATATACTACACACATTTCCAATCTTCTGCTATAGCTGCTTTTGCATAGAAAGAGCAAAGTCACCAACAAATGGCACTTCTTGCATGACTCCTAACTATGGGAATACAGTATACATGCTGTGGCTCAGATAAACACTTGGTTTATTTGCTTTTCCATTAAAATATTTAGCAAAATTGGCAATGCAGAAACACAAATATGAAGGCATTATAAATTAAAACCTTGACAGAGCTTATAACTTGTTTTGGTAAAAAAAAAAATTAAGCTTTTGATGATGTTCAGAGAGTGTTCATTCAGAAAGCGGAGTTAACCAAGCTGCAGTGTGGAGATGGAGTGGAGGAGGAATGCTTGAGACAAATTTGTGTTAGAAATATAAATAGCAGATTTTGGCAATGATTAGGATTTGGAACAGCTGGGTGAGATTCACTTGCTGTTGTTATCCCTCCCAAACTTCAGTTAACAATGGCCGTCTGACATAGTGCCACCAGCTTAGGGTGGATATTAGTGGGCCACGATATTACTGCTTTTGGCAAAAAACAGACTCTTGCAACTTCCTGGGCTTCTCTAGGCTCTTAGCGATATCACTTGACAGTCCCGTAAAGCACAGTGGGGTTTTAGGTGTGTCGAAGATGCAGGACTCTGACGTGTGTGTGTGCCAGTGTAGCAGGTCTGCAGATGTAGGAGTCATTGAAAAGTCTCAAACACAGTGAATTGCTGACTGCAAAGTAATTGATTATTCATTTTGACCAAATATAAATAACAAACCCTTAATATGGTTTACAATGTCCGAAAAGTACTTTACAAATGTTTACTATTGTGTTTTTAATGTATATATTACAAAATGTTCAGGTGGGTAGCTGCGTCAGCATGCGTAGGCTGCAAAGGAACAAGTAATACGTTTATTCCATTGCTCACACCTGAAGAAGGCTCCATGGCCGAAATGTTGTGTTTGCTTTCTTCTTTTTTTTCAGCATGGAATAAACCTACTTGTTCCTATACTACAAAATTGCACATAGGTTTTATCTCAAAAACAAACAGAATACAATTTACTTTATAAAGACACTGAACTGTGTTTTATATCACAAGGAAAGCTCATCAAAAACCTAAAGAATAGGGATCATGAATATAGTCTATACTCACATAGATTTGTACTTTTGGATCCGCTGTGAGGATGTAAAGATTTGTGGTTACGCTGGCATTCAGAATCAGAACCGTTTGCTTTGTAGTCATCAGATCTAGTAATACAACCTAAAGAACCACAAACAGGAAAAAAAACATTTTTGTTGACACAGACATGCCATGTAGATAATCGTTACAGTGATTACATTTCAGTAAGTAATTAATTGAACATTTGATACACAAAAGTAAAATATCATTCAATCCTAAAAAAGAACATCAGGCATAACATGATCAGAATTAGAACCCAATTTATCTGAAAATCCCAAGACACACTAACCAATCTCTTACAAAACAAATGTGATTTGCATGGGGCATACTGTATAATAGATTAAACACGCAAGTTGGACATGACAAAAGAATAGCAAAAATGATTAATGATACACTTTAATTTTACAGCTTTTAAATATATTTCTGAAAGAATCAATTTTATTGCATTGAGCTTTCAACCTTTCTAAAATAATAGCTTATAGGCAAAAAAAAATGGGAATAGTTGTTTCAACTGTCGCAAGCATGACCATTGCTGATATAGACATTAAAAAAATACATCAGAGTTTTACATTTTATAGGTGAAGTTTATGTCCTGTAAAAAAGAATAGAAAACCCTTGAAAACATTATCTGGGATAAAACGAAATGGTCCATTTGCACAGGATCAGGTTCGACCTCCTTGTTGATGTGAACATGAGTAAAAACATAAGACTGCAAACTCAGGGCATATAAACACTGAAAAAAGAGCCAGGCGAAACCACGGCAGAGTTTCCCCCAATGTGAGCTTCCGCCTGCAAGGAGGAAGAAGTCGTGCAGTCGTGTTTTTCCAGTCCACTCTCTTTCTTTGAGGCAGTTCCTTCAACGATCGACTCCCGCAACAGACACGTAGTCTGGCATTGTAAAGGAAGTCTGATGGCTAACAATTCAAATGTGTGAAAACCCACAGGAAATAAATTTGTTGTGATTAAAAAAGAAAAAGTGGGATTTTTTTTTCTTATCCTGCAGTGGGTCGCTCTGGGGTGAACGGGAGGCCACAGTAATGCTGAGTGAATGCCAGGGAGCCAGAAATCTGGCTGGCTCCTCAACCCAGCCATCTGAGGACTTGAGTCCTGATAGAAGGAGCACTTCACGGCAATATCTCAGACTGCGAAGACAGACTGAGAGATTACGACCGAGGTCCAGGAGCCAGGAATAGCTGTGCTGGAGTGTGCTGGACTGCTGCGTCAATTCTGAAGCCCTGATGACCTGAGCTAATACAATTATTCTGGAATGCCCCTAATTGACCAGTCAGATTTAACTAATGGACTTCACTCTGGTCACTCATTTTCATCTTTAGTTCCTTAAGACAAAACACGTTCTGTTACTAATACTGCGGTCACACTACTGTATGCACAGAGAGTGGTGTACTGACTGATCATGACGCAGTTTGAACCTTCATCTTCAGAAGAAGGGTCCACTTTCAGAGCTGTTATTATTTGTATCGCATGTTTATCATTTTTTTTCCAAACAACAAAGAGTCACTTTAGCTTGGATTTAGTCAAATCTATAAACAATGCATTTCCATCAGTTCAAATCTCCCTCTCTTTTCCTTCCTCTGCTACAAACATCTCCTCCAGTATCTGCTTGTCTCACAGCCATGTCCTCCTGGATGCACTCTCACTAAAATAAAATAATAATAATAATAATAATAATAATAATATCTTCTGCTGAGCCTTTCAATCTCTGTCTGCCTGGCCTCTCTGGCATCTCCAGCAATTCAACATAACTGCCAGTCCAACCCCTGATATTGTTCCACTTAGATTATTGTAACTCCATCTTGCTAAAACTATCCATCAACTCCATCTCAACCACAATTCTGTTGCTCAACCTTTTTTACAATGCTAGCCCTTCGGTAGTTAGCAGGTGATTGATCCAATGATCTCATATAACTGTTTCTTGAAAGAATCCAGGGTATCATATTCAATAGCCCTGCTGGGTATCATATTCAATAGCCCTGCTGGGTATCATATTCATTACCCCCACAACCTTCTGAATATAAAAAAATTGTCTCCTTTCTCCACTTCTAAATGTACATCCACATAGTAAACACCTGTGCCTTCTGTTTCCTGTTTCAATTACTTTTGAAACAGGAATCAGAAGGCACAGGTCATTCTGAAGAAATCCAATGCTCATTCTGAAGAAATCAACTAGGTTGACTTTTATCTTTTTTAACTTTGAGGATTTTGAATGCTTGATTCAGTTCCCCTTCTAGTCATCTCTGAACAGAAGACCATAAAGATGATGAGAGTATGGATCCAGGCAACTTTGCTGAAGCTAATTTACTGGCTTCTTTCAAGAAATGATTGGAAGAAATCAATTACCGTAGCTGCTAAGTTATGAAACAGGCTAGGTGGGCTGAATGCCCTCCTCTCTTTTCTTTACTTTTCTTGTGTTTTTAAAAAATGAACATTTGTTTCTTTCTTCTAGAATAAGATATTGGTTCTAGTGAGCTAGTCAGTTTCGCTTTTTCAGAAGATGTAATCCTGTCAAAGTGCAAAGAGAAATGCTGCAATCGTTTCCTCTGCTGAAGCACTTTGTCCACACTCTCTACTTGCCATTCTGTACAGACAAGGTGCTGTTTATATTTTGCTATCCTGTGACAGTCCAAAAAAGCACTATTTGTTGTAACCAGGGAGACCAAATATTGCAGCTCACAATGAACAAAGGCTCTTAACCAGCAGCGCACCTGGTCAAGGCAAACTAGAGCGTGCCGCTTTTCAATGAAGGAGCTAAGTTTAGCTTCTCTTGGTCTCAGTCAGTGGGGATTCCCTATTGTCTTTCAGTACAGAACGTCCCCCTTCCAACTTGCACTGGGTAGGGCTGATGACAGCTCGCTACCTTGACCGTGTTGTGTTGTGTAATTGCCCCGCTTAACTGAAGAATTTCTTTTTCCATGACTCATTGCCCATTTTTGTGCATGTGTGTGTTTTCACTGTAAATCTGGATCATTTGACCCATCACCCAAATGGTCTGAGGAAATATCACTCATGGCCACACACACACGAAACAGCACAATCCTGGCATCTAGCCCTGTCTCTGGGGTGCATATGTCACTAATTTCACCTCATGACTAAAGTGCGATTGGCGCCAAATGATTGGTCTTGCCCTGTCCTTGAATAGAACAGGAACCAAGCTAACCCACAGAGTGAATCTCTTACAGTAATGACAGCAGAGAGAGAGAGACTAGTGGCTATCATTTCTAGATCCACAGCATATTTCACAATATAATATTATATTATATAATTCACAAGCAACCCACAGAAAATCTTGTTTTCTGTGATGTGCTGCTCCACACGTGTAAACGTCATAGGCCTTTTGTTGAAACCACGAATGCTTGTGTGGTCAGGCTGGTGAACACCATTTCTAATGTACCAACAATAGACAGGAATGTAAACTTTTCTAACTCACCACTATATGAAAAACCACAAGTGCCCTGTTCAGAAGATGCTCCACATTCCCACTGTGGAAAACTGTGTGTGGTGATCTCTTGGGAAGGGGCAAGACAGTGACTATGTGTGACTGTTGAGGTTCCGCGCGGGCTCGTGCCCTTTGCCACCCGTTTCGTCCCGCAACACCTGGGGCACAAACCCGGGTCTCCGGTGTAACGCAACAGGGAACCTGCCGCATGAGCTAAAGGAGACCTCCCCCAGTCCAGGCAGCTGAGGTCTCTGCTACGTGCAGGGAGGGCGATGACGTCACCATATCCGAACTAGCTCCGCTACATATACACAGGAGAGGTTTTCTGTTTGCACCTAAGACAAGTGTCTTCCTGCAACTAAGGCCTGTGGTTTTATCAGAAAGAAATAAAACAGATTGCAGGATGCTTGATGTGCTGGATGTTTCTGTCCTGTTTTGAGTGTGTCTGAAAGACTTCTGTGAGTGTCCTGTGCCTTGTGTGTTCCTTTGATATGTTAAAAGTCTCACCTACATTTTATGTACTATATAAAAGGAAAAGTGTAACTTCACTGTGTGCTAGGGGAAAAACGTTCTCTGTGTTACGCTCCCCTTCAGCTGATATAAATATCTCTGAATAAAAGATCTCCATTGGCTGAATCTCCTAACCCAAGTAAAGACCCAAGTCTTCGACACCTCCAAATATTCCCCTTCCTTGCTCTGTGCCTCTACGGCTTTATAACCCTTGGCCTTACGACCTTAGGCCATGCTAATGCTGCCCAAGCACTTCAAAATGAGAAGTAGATTTTGTATAGCTGTTCCTTATTTCAACATCAAAATTACTAATTAAATCATTTACAGGCAATTTGTCAGATCTAACTTTGTAACTGTGACAAATATTGTCTCATCGCTTCTTTTTTTAATGTAAAATGCCTGTTCACAAAGGATTCATATGAAATGAAAACTATGCAAGAATAATTTTTCATTTCCATGTTAATATTATACTATTTACAGTATATACTATATTATTGTTCTAATGTTCGATTAAAAACATAAATTATATCACAATGGTGCAATAACATTACAGATATTTTAGGGCAGCACATATTCTCCCAAAACTACATTCCCTATCAAAATATTAGAGATTCTCATGCATCACAGAAGCAAAGTGTCCTGTCTAAAGTAAAGTTGTAGTAATTGCCCAGAGTCTGCACAGATTGACATTTGACTCAACTCAATCAGAAACTACATTGTGTCAATCACATAATCTTTAGTAATTACATATGGAAGCACAAATCAGTTCATTCTGCTTTAAATGGATCTTCAGCCCCAATTTCTCAGATCGGTTATTAAATATCGGTAACAAAATAAATTAATTGACAGTGTGGAAAAAATTGACTAATTTAGCACCGACTGTGTAGCAGACATTTCACTGAAGAAAGTTTCCAATGTGATCTGCATGCAGAGTTAACTACTAAGTTACATTTATCAGTAAAACTATTTCTGAAGTCAGAAACAATATTTCCATTGGATTAAAAATGATGAATTCACAAGCCTGCTTGTTCACAATGTAATAGGGCCGTTTCATGTCACTGGAAGTTTTGTTGCCTCGTTCTGGATCGCAGAAAATGGCACTGCTCATACCTGGAAATTTCATCTATTTTATAATGTACAGTAAATTGGAAGTTTTACATGTAACTGTGTACATTTTACTTTAATTGTGGTTTGAAATCCTCTCATCAATTCAGATCTTCCCAGCCCCGAAATATAAAAATAGTGTTGCAGTTCCCCTATATACAGTATGTGTAAGAATAGCATACTTTTTGTGTTTGGCTCCACATATGTCAGTTTAGAGAGAATGTACTTCCAAACCAATTTTCTGCAATCACAGCTGCGATTAAGACATTCTGTTGTTCTGTTGGAGAAATGCTCTTGCACTGATTTAGGAAGTCACGTTGTTGTATTTTTTGCCAAGTTAACTTTTCCCTTTTATTTCTTGCAGCTTGTGGTTAGGCATTTTTCTGCTCTCAGCCTTTTTTTTGTTTCATTTTAGTCTCAGTGTTTTAAGTTTGTTAGAACTACTTCAGTAAGGTAATGAGTGATTGAGATTGTTAGCAGTAGTAAATGTACAAATCTATCACAAAAGGCCTGGGCACAGACAGGTGTATTTCTGGTTAGACCAAGACACTTTCAGTGATATATCTGTGTTAGTTATACAGATAGATGGCTGTGGCTTTGCTAACTCAAAAATGATTTTATTATGAAGTGTAAGAGTACAGGAATTAAAAAAACATTAACACAAACTTGAAGCATACATTAAATTATAAAAATATAATTTAATGTAAATCCCCATATTCACAAATAACTTTGAGTGGATTTATAGTTTACTTTTTTTAACTAAAATCTTTATTGTATAATCCTGGATGGATAACACTGTTAAGCTGAACATTTTTTGTTCCAATAGTTCAATCAGAACTTACAAACTCAGCCCTCAACAGTAATTCCAGAAAGCTAGCGAGCATTAATACTGTAGTTTTGCAACAGTGTTGTGTGTGGGTTGAATTTTGAAAGCCTGCTTCTTTGATGCACTTATATTAAAACAATATCTTGGCTAGATGTCTTTCTCTGCATGTGAAAGCATTTAAACAAACTGCAGGCAGACTGTCTTTGAATTAGACTCAGAGACAGGAAACTGACAAATGTTGAGACCATCATCACTGATTCAGAGGAAGGGGAAAACCAAAGTCTAACTTATATCCTGAAATTTCTTGGGAAATTAAAAGTCTAAAAGGTTAGTTATTTGAGAAATATTTGATAACTAATAAAGAAAGAAGATGACTAGATGATTGCTAAACTATTGATCATCTAGACTGAAATGAGTGAAGATGACCAAAGAACTCAAAAGACTAAAAGAAAGCTCCAGCTGCATTTATGGGCCTCAACAGGACTGAACCAATTTCTGTGTTTAATATTCAAAATCTATTCAAATACCAAATTCCTCAAGAACAGAGGAAGGAAAAAAAGAAGGAATTGCTCATTACAACCACACAGTGTTTACAGAAAACAGATTCCCCTCCCAGTTTTCATCTCTCTCTCCTGCTCCTCTAACTCTCTTCATTCGAACAATGAAAGTAGCAGGCCCTTGCTCACTCACCCTTGCTATTTTTGTTCCTGTGTTTTCAAGATACAATTGTTTTCCTTTTGACTGACTTTTTTTTCCTCTTGAGTGCCTTTTTTTTTCTTTTTCTTTTTGCTGGCTCTGCTGATGTAAACTGGCTTCCCGTAATTCTTCTCTGTCCCCTAACCCAAGACGGCTCCAGTCTCTGGTCTAGGATCCAGGCCAAGGAGTCAGCTGCGTGCCAAACGATGACATCAAACTGGACTTTAACAACTCCCCCTTTGAACCGCAAAGCCAGCCCCTAACTCTCCCTTCCATCCTCTCCCGCTTTCTCAGAAAATCCACATTCCATCTGTCTTGTTTACAGCTTTGGCCACAGAGGGAAATGTTCAATTTCTGGAGTCAGGTCTGGGGAAGCAGTCAGCACTGCCCCGTTGTTCAGATATCATTTGTCTCCCTGTCTGCAAAGTGCGTGCAGTTTAAGACAGCATTTTTGGCAAGATCTTAAACTGGAGCAGCAAAGAGACAGGATGGTTCAAAGAATCATATTTAAAATTCCAGCTGGACGTTCACTCTCAGTGATCCACACAGAATGCAGTTGTGGTATCTAATATTTCACTTTAACTGGATGACTCCCTTTCGAGTAGTGTAAAAAAAAAGATTTGAATCGACACACTAGTGTAGCTAAAAATTCAACTAAAAATGCCAACAATACCCAGAGAGAAAAAATTACAAACGTACTTCAGTTCGTAAATGTATTTCATTGTTTTAGAAACTCTGCTTAGAGAAATTATAATGACAATTTTAAATGGGAGTTTTTTTAAATCTAAATGTAAAGGGGGTTTTTCAACTAATGCACTTTTTAAAACATGTAACGTTTTTAATATTAAATGCAGTAAAAATAACACAGGAGCAAAATAGCATTAATAACCAACAAAACATTAAGAGGTATGTTAAACAGCAATGCATTCATAGGAACTTTAGTTTTATGGCTTGCCTGGTAGTTATATTTATATTATATTTGAATCTTTTTACTTAGAGATGTAGTAATTCCTGTTTTTTTCCCCGTTTAACAGGCAGATTTTCACTAATGAGCTGGACTCATAAAGTAGTGCCAAGATCCTTGATTTTGTGCATCTTCCAGGATGATGAATATTTTTTCATTTTTGAACCAATCACAGATTATAACACGGGACGTAATGGGTATTTAACTTCCATTTTATGTATTTTCACCTTATGAGTGGTTTTAGAAGAACAAAATAATAATAATAGTTTTATAAGGAGGGATAATTGTATCAGCACGTGGTTGATGTGCCTTGAAAAATGTGTGTCCTACAGAGTCTGCCTCTGTAGGACACACATAACAACCAAACACGCAGTGTAGCCTCCTCTTACTTGTAATCTCTCTTGTGCTCTTCAGTTGTGACATACTGTACTGCCAGATGGTGCATGAACAGTGACTCCATGATCATTCCAATGCAATGTTTAAAGAAAATCCAGAAATGTCTATGCAGTTAGTTGGCTGAAAATTCCACTAAGTCAACAAGGGTTTGTGAAAAACACTAGAAGTATCACGTCTCCTGAAACTGGGAGGTCCTGATAACTGATATTTTGTTGTATGGTATCTACTGTGGAAAAGTACTAAAACCTTATTCACAGTCAGCAAAATAATTCTGCTTCCCATCAAACAGCTGTCAACAAACTTCCAAGTAAAACACTTTTGTTTAGGTTGGAAAAGCGATTTTACTCTTGTTGTTTTAGTTGTATAAAAAAAAAGGCAAGAGTGGTTGACTTTATTCTTTATCACTTCTCATACCTCGGGATTTCCAGATTGCATGATAATAGTCATATGGTAACTGTTAGCTCTTGCCCTGGAGAAGAAGGAACAATCTTCAAGCAGCTGTTGTCAAGGATACAGCGCATGACCACATGTTTCTACTTGTCAAAGACAACAGCATAAAAGCTACTGTGAAGTGCCATAAAACGGGTGTCTTGGCCAATTGTGCATCATCTGGTATCAATTTAAATGGATAAACGTACTCTGAGAGCAGTCTTTGCAGTTCTGACTGTTTACATACAGTAATTTGTGATTTCGCCCTGTGAATGTATTTTATTTACAGGGTCTGTACCCACTTGAAGGTTTAGTGACTTGTGTACAGTTCCTTATGTGTTACAACTGCCCCATATAGAAGTGTAGAAAGGTATGCTTTACTTTGAGGCACTAGAAATCTCCATTATGTCGAAGCATAAGAAAAAATGGGGAAAGCACTGAAAAACATGGAAACCAACAAGGCTCCACAAGACCAGCGTGTCACTATGTACTCCAGCACTCCAGGAGTTTGAGGGACACAAGGTAACTGGAAATTCCCGAGAGAAGTCTGTTGGAGAAAGTTAGATGACAACTTACCTTCTGATCAAAATTCTGAATTTCCAAGTTCAGGATGTGCACTTCTGTGTCATTGTTGGCGTATGAGCTCCAACAACCCACTGAAGCTTCGGTGACACTGATGAAGTCATTTTCCTTTCCTGTCACCTCCCTTGGTGTGCAAGCAGTCAGCAATCCTGTAAAAGTGTAAAATGAATACTTATTTAATGAGCTGTATTGTTGTATACACTGTACAAACATTGTTCTATACTTGGCCTCATATCTGACCCTTTTACAGGGAGATTTTGTTATAAACCATGCTTACAACAATACCACATTTTTAAACGGACTAATCAGCAAGAATACATCCATCTTTATTGATTATGTCACCCTCGCAGTCATCATTTTAAATCAACTCTATAATCACCTCTTATCAAGAGCTGAATATAGCTCTGAATATCCAGCCTAGGAGGAAACTGGTTAGGGAAGACATTGTGTAGACAATGTTAACTTTAAAAGACTCATAAAAATCATTTTCTGAGATGGAATAAAACGTTCATGGGTCAGCAATATACTGTATGTGGTCACTCCAAACAACAGGCTTATATGGAACTAGAAAAGTATTTAAAATCCCACATGGAACGTCCAACAAAGCATTTAGGTTATACTACAAACATTTGGCCAACACAGGGACTGGGACTCTCGGCTGTTTTGAGGAGGCATTGGATAGAGCAAACTACCGGCAAAACCAAAGAGGATAATTTTCTTCAGTCTTATAAAGATCTAAAACTGGGATGGAAATTCAACTTTCAGCTGGACAATGACCCAAAGCTATACTGCACTAGTATACAAAGTTGGTAGAGACTTACCCAAAAATATTTAATATAATAACTATTACGCCTATAATACGGTACAGTAATGTGGATCTTATGGTAATACTGCAATCGTTTTTCCACCAATTAATGAATTCAGGGGTCTAAATACTTATTAATTAACACAATTCAGTTTTTCTCTTTAGTTTTGCTGATATTTGCTGAAACCTATCTTATCCTTACAAGTCCTAACTTTCAGCATTCATATGTTAAAGACTCTTTCATCTCACCCCAAAATGATGCTTTCTTGGCTCTCAACTTAATAGCAATCCTCAAGTGACACAACAGCTACTGCTACAATTCAAAGGTGACAAAAACACACTGGCAATTTTGCTTGATAGTCAAATAAAAAGGCCACCAGTGGCGTAAGCTTCCACTGTCTTACCATTGTCAGGGGGATGAAGGTTTCTACTATTTATGGGTGTTTGTGCGTGTTGTGAAAATGTACAGGGAAGGGGGGCTGTCTGGCCCTATTGTTGAAACCCGAGGGGAAACAGTTGAATTTTTTTCTGATGAAAGCTGCCAACATCTTTTAATCGCTCCCTGCAAGGACTGCCGTCTGCCGAGAGCTCCGTTAGCCTATAGGGAGTTTCCTGTTGGCGGTCAATAAATATTCCCCAAGAAGTAAACAGTGTCCTTCCTTAGGAAATGAGGGTCAGGTGTCGTTTCCTACACTATCCCTGGCTCAGTGACTGCCTCCCTTCTAGACTGAGTGCTGAGAGAGATAGAGCGCCCTATTGCTCTTTCTATAGGACAGGTGGCGTCACAAGCTCTCAGCAAGTGGACCTGAACGCCTGTCATGATTCAATGGTTGTGACCTTGGAAAGCAGGCCCTAGACAACAGCCTTAACTAATATACTTCCAGACAGGACAAAGCAGAGATGTAAAACGGTATTATTGGCAAACAAGTGGTTCTTGTTGATTCGCGTTACTTAGGTTTGTGAGATACACCACTTAACACATTTCTTATGGACATATTGCTTAAAGCAGAGGAATAGAACAGTCCATGGAATTTGGATTTATTTTCAAGACAAGGGGCTTGGTAATCATTTAATAAGTTCCATTCAGGGGATGTGTTCAGCCAGTTGGTTATATGTTTAGATAAAGAATAAAGCTTTGAATAGCAGAATTGTGTGATATTGTAGGCAGTAACTTCCATCAATAAAATGCAATTAAATATTTTGATCTTCAATACTCTCAATTACTGCTACGTGTAAATGTAGTCAGAAGACACTTTGTGATATTGAAGGTGATGCGGAAGCAGATATCTCTTGAGAATTAGTCGACGAAAACCTTGCCTTCTTTTAAGTCTATCCATTTTCTAAACCACATTATCCCGTATAGGGTCGCACAGGATGCTGGTCCCTAACCCAGTAAAAAAAAAAAGTCACAAGGCAGAGATCATCCTGAACGGAACATTCACATGGACACACACACTCACATCAGAGCCAATTTTTACAGAAGCCAAATAATCTGTCAGAATGGCTTTGGACTGTGGGGTGCAACCCATATGAGCACAGCGAGAATGTATAAACTACATGCAGAGAGGCCCCCAGGAACTGAACCCAGGGCCCAAGCTCTGGTAAATGAGGTAGTAATGATAACCACTGTGCCACCACATCAGCTCATATGTCAATGCATGTAGTATTTGTTTCTTATGCCATCTTGATTTTACATTGTTTTTACATAGCAGGACGTTATCATCAAAAGTGTGTTTTTTTGTATGCATTGTGTTTTTATTTTGGTTTCTAAAACTATATAGATAATATAAATGTAAAAGGCAATACATTGCTCATTTGCAGTTGAACAAAATGTATTCATCTTTATGAACAGATACTGTAAGATCTGTTTGGCTGATACAAAGCCAAATTCCAATTTCCTATCTTGGCTTCAGGAGCTGGCTTTTTAGCCCTGATCTCTATGTTTCTGTTTGACTTTGATGCTGGAAGGAGTTAGTCCCTGATGTATCCTCTTTTTAGCCAGACTTCCTTGTGGATTCCTGCTCAGAAGTTTTAAACATTCCACTCTACCACGACTACAAAAGACAAAATTCTAGTTTCAGTATTTAGATTGCTTTCTGTAAAAGTGTCAGTCTGTTCAATGATGAAATCTGATTTCGTTTCCAACAATAACATTCTCAAATTTCTGTAACAAGTGCAGTAAAGCTATTACTGTTTCAGAAAAGAGGTTTTGTGCCATAAGCACAAGATTCAGAGAAATACACTAAAAAGCAGACTATACAACATGAAGTCATACATAACTACATACATAATTATCATGTAGTCAAACATAGTGTCAGTTATTGTATGTAATGTTGTGGTTGGAAATGTTGCTGTTAAAGATTTAGGAGCTTTATCCCATTGTGACAAGAGCTGGGAATGAGACAGAGCTCTGTTCTGAAGTCAGTTCTAAAGCAAAGCTCGTCCTGCTCCCAGGCCAGCCCCCTGCCTCCACTGCAGCTTCCTGTCTCCAGGGGCAACAGGAAATGCCCTGTTTAGACGGCATGCCCAATGATGGCACCCTCTGAAAGGCTCTGGCGTGACAAAAGGGACATAAACAAGTCATGTCGCCAATCTGGTACTGTCCAGGAAACTTTGGCTCCCGAAAATGGAGTGGCAAAACTTGCAGGCAGTTGTTAATTAACAGCCACTTAATTTCTTCCAGGAAGCTCACCCAGCTCTTCACCTGTTGTTACAGAAAATATGTCCTGTTTGTGTTTTTATATCCAGTATCAAGACTGCATATGAGCCGAAACCTTATCTAATGCAGTTCTGAATTAATAATGTTCACAGAGGCTGCTGATTAAAGGCTTTGGCTTGGTGGTCTTATCAACAGGGTATTGTCCTAATGGGGCACTTTATGCTAAAGTATAATGTCCAGAGGCACAAGTGGAATGACAGTGTTATATATGCTCATTCTGTTTGTATAAATTAAAGACAAAGTAAAGCATGAAGTCTTTTTGTGCTGGCTATTTAAAACCCTGTCACTCAATGGCACTGTGACTTTAAGGAAATGCCAACAAGCCTGCTGAGTGATTTCCAGTTAATTGAGCTATGAATGCCGTAAGATTCCATTCATCTATTTTTATCTGTTCCTTCAATTTTCTATTCCATGAATACATTGTTTACACAGAAGCATTCCAACCAAACTCAGGTCTGGGGAGAAGTAAATATTTATATAGTCACTGAAGACATATAGAACATGATATCAATCACACGTGGGTCTAGACTCAAGTGAAAAGTTTGTGGCACCTACAGTACCATTCGTAAATTAAAATCTTGTCAGTTTATGGCAGCTTCTTGTTTGCCAGTTATACTAAG